GAACGCTACACCCAGTGACCACAAGAGATGACCCTCCTATGGCCCGGACAGAGAAAACCCCTAGATGTTATATCAGATAATCTGGATTTATCGGCACTTAGTTCAGTCGCCGAATACTGTTTAGGCATTAGGCAGGACGTCCCCATTGTTATCCCTATCTGGGACCGACTCCCAACGTGTACAATTATATGCTCTTTGGATTAAATATGGTACCAGTTTCCTATAGTCTAAACGAAATGAAATTGCTAGAATCTTCAGCATCCCAAGTAATGCGTTTTACTGCAGCAATGTACTGTCATACTGTTGTCCTCTAGTGACGAACTTGTAGTGCACATTTCCAGAAGAATGATCATCTCCAAAAATCTGAGCAAAAATTTGCAGAAAGTGGAATGTTTTCTAGAAAAAAAGGCAAATGCCACCTTTTATGACCATAAATCATGGTAGATCGTCAGCTACTATCAAATGCAGTTTTCTTTAAGTCGTCAGCTTACTAAAATTCCATCTAGGCTACGACTGCCAACTAGGCTTAACAATTTTACATGCACGTACAAGCCGCACTGTAGCTTGCCAATTAGTGGCTTTAGCAAGCGTGATTGACCTAACAAGCACTTTTAGCATAAGCACTACACTTGAAATAAATAATCGTAAGAAGTGAGGCATTCACTCTGTTCCGACCTAAATGCACGATAGGATCCTCAGTTCCTATCACATATACCTTTCCTTAACCTTGAACTTACTAATATTACCTTATATGTTAAGGCAGCTCATTAGATTAAAATTTCATACATGCGCATACAAGTTCTAGCAAGCAACACTTATAGCACAGGCGCAGCACTTCTAATGGCAGTATTCCAGCCCTAGCAGTGTAAACTTAGGAGACAACAAGGACAAGCACTGATGTGCCTTGAACTCCAAACACCTGCTATACTGGGAATAGCAAAAATCCAGGTCCACACTCCTATATGAGATCAAGGGAACACGACCCCAGACCTGACACCAATCAGTGTCATTTGTGACCAAATATTATCAGCACTACTATCACTTAGATACACCGATAGAAGCGGCAGTAGAAACATTTGTTTCAGCAGTAGGAACACGAGACTCAGGCGCCTCGAATATTTCTGGGCACGTACTATGGGTGAGTGAGGGAAAACAGTGCAGGAGTACCAGCGCAAATACTACTGTAACACCATGTGACATGATAAACCCTGCGATATTAATTAATAATGTCTCGTTAACAATAATGTGACACCGCCAGATGGACAGGGTTGAGAGGGCTGAAAACAAGGAAAGTCCTGATGTGCTGGTATCACCAATATCACTAGTACTACTAGCATCACTAATACTGCCTTTGGTCTGTTGCACTGACTTAGACTGTACTTCTGTACCTACCTGATACTGTATTGTCGTACTACTACAGAAAGAAAATGTACAAGGCCTTAATGTAGTCAATAGAAGGCAAAATGCTCGACCAAAGGGCAAGGTAGGACTTGTGCACTACTCTACATACACGCAATTCTTATCCAAGTGCTAATAACTATAACCTCACAGATTCGGAGTGTATACTGGATGGAATTCCTTAAAAAAATTCACAGACAGTACTTATAGTATTTTAACTATTGACCTAAGTAAGCATGCTTAACAGAATTGCCACTTCTAGCGTAGGTACGTACTTACATGAGCATAATCATGGTCTGTACAGCCCGATGGATTAAGCTGAGTGCGGAATCCAAGGCAAACGAAGCTTTGTTCGGGACCCCAAGGATGTACTTACCTGAAATAGTTAAACCCTAAATCACACTCCTTGTTGAGACAAAGGGCATATGAGCCCTAGCGTTGGCTAAGTCAGCGTCACCTCCGGCACATGGTGGCGTCAGTGCTTGCACCAGTACTACTACACTTCTTGATGACATTTAAGGTATACGAGCCCAGTGCTGACTTTACTCGGCGTCACTTCTGACTTATAAAACTGTCAGTAATAATACTAGCAAATACCTTCACCCACCTACACCCTAGATAGTGGTATTAGAAATAGCAGAAGTGGTATGTGCCATACCAGTCCTGGCTGACCTCAGTCTGGCTAGACG